TGGGACCGTTATAGGCTACATGTGGGCCAGTAGTTTGTGTTGAGCAGTGGGACCGTTATAGGCTACATGTGGGCCAGTAGTTTGTGTTGAGCAATGTGACCGTTATAGGCTACATGTGGGCCAGTAGTTTGTGTTGAGCAGTGGGACCTTTATAGGCTACATGTGGGTCAGTAGTTTGTGTTGAGCAGTGGGACCGTTATAGGCTACATGTGGGCCAGAAGTTTGACACCAGATTTGACCAAGCGACATGTGTTCCTACTCTGAACACAATGAGCATATCAACAACGATATTTAAATTGAACTAACTTGACATGCGTTTCGTTATCACAATTTAGTTCTTTTCTTCTAAGATGACTCCGGTGGCTTAAATATGCATTCCTCTTTGAGATGTTGAAACTAATTGCGATTTACAAGCAATTCATAATCAACACTGTCTATTTTGGTACTTGTAGCTGACGGTATCTTTGTCATACAACAGCATCAAGTAGCATTGATCTACACTCTATTTGCCATCACTCTTTAGAGTTGACACGAGTAGCTACAGTAAGCACTTCCCGTTTGGGTTGTTGAAACTCACTGCTATCCGATACTAATCCATAACCCAAGGTTATCCTATTTTTGCACTTTTAGGTTTTACATTTTTTTTTCTTTGTATTGCTTTTTCCAATCGGTATTGTTATAAGTTGGATCACTAACAAACCGATTCAGACATAGATTTCTTGCTTGGTGTTGAGCAATGGGACCGTTCTAGGCTACATGTGAGCCGTTAGTTTGTGTTGAGCAGTGGGACCGTTATAGGCTACATGTGGGCCAGTGGTTTGTGTTGAGCAATGGGACCGTTACAGGCTACATGTGGGCCAGTAGTTTGTGTTGAGCAGTGGTACCGTTCTAGGCTACATGTGGGCCAGTAGTTTGTGTTGAGCAGTGGGACCGTTATAGGCTACATGTGGGCCAGTAGTTTGTGTTGAGCAATGGGACCGTTCTAGACTACATGTGGGCCAATAGTTTATGTTGAGCAGTGGGACCGTTCTAGGCTACCTGTGGACCAGTAGTTTGTAATGAGCAGTGGGATCGTTCTAGGCTACATGTGGGCCAGTAGTTTGTGTTGAGCAGTGGGACCGTTATAGGCTACATGTGGGCCAGTAGTTTGTGTTGAGCAATGGGACCGTTCTAGACTACATGTGGGCCAATAGTTTATGTTGAGCAGTGGGACCGTTCTAGGCTACCTGTGGACCAGTAGTTTGTAATGAGCAGTGGGATCGTTCTAGGCTACATGTGGGCCAGTAGTTTGTGTTGAGCAGTGGGACCGTTATAGGCTACATGTGGGCCAGTAGTTTGCCACCAGATTTGACCAAGTTACAGTTGTTCCTACTCTGAACACAATGAACATATCAACAACGATGTTTAATTTGAACTAACTTGACATGCGTTTCGTTATCACAATTTAGTTATTTTATTTTAAGTTGATTCCGGTGGCTTAAATATGAATTCCTCTTTGAGATGTTGAAACCAATTGCGATTTACAAGCAATTCATAATCATCACTATCTATTTTGGTACATTAAGCTGACGGTATCTTTGTGATACAACAGCATCAAGGAGCATTGATCTACACTCTATCTGCCATCACTCTTTAGAGTTGACACGAGTAGCTACAGTAAGCACCTCCCGTTTGGGTTGTTGAAACTCACTGCTGTCCGATACTAATCCATTATCCAAGGTTATCCTATTTTTGCACTTTTAGGTTTTACAATATTTTTGGTATTTTCTTTGTATTACTTTTTCCACTCGGTATTGTTATAAGTTGGACCACTAACAAACCGATTCAGACATAGATTCCTTGCTTGGTGTAGAGCAGTGGGACCGTTATAGGCTCCATGTGGGCCAGTAGTTTGTGTTGTGCAGTGGGACCGTTCTAGGCTACACGTGGGCCAGTAGTTTGTGTTGAGAAGTGGGACCGTTCTAGGCTACATGGTTTGTGTTGAGCAATGTGACCGTTATAGGCTACATGTGGGTCAGTAGTTTGTGTTGAGCAGTGGTACCGTTCTAGGCTACATGTGGGCCAGTAGTTTGTGTCTAGCAGTGGGACCGTTCTAGGCTACATGTGGGCCAGTAGATTGTGTTGAGCAATGGGACCGTTATAGGCTACATGTGGGCCAGTAGTTTGCCACCAGATTTGACTAAGTGACAGTTGTTCCTACTCTGAACACAATGAACATATCAACAACGATGTTTGATTTAAATAGACGTTGGAATTATTGATAGATGTTAGGGTATCAATAGTAATTCCATTCTTTAAAGATGACTCGGTTTGTTAAATTATGCATTACCCTTTGTGTTGTTGAAATAAAATGCGATTTAATAGCAATTCTTAGCAATCATCACTATCCAAATAACTAGTTAGTAGATGTTAAAGCAACCTATGAACCTGTTGTAAGCCTACATAACCGGCCAAGTTACTGGTGTTTTCTACTCTGAACACAATGTACATAACAACGCACATGGAGTTGAATTAAAAAAGACGTTGAACTAACTTGACATGCGTTTTGGTATCAAAAGTTAGTTCTTTTCTTCTAAGATGACTCGGGTGGCTTAAATATCCATTCCTCTTTGAGATGTTGAAACTAATTGCGATTTACATGCAATTCATAATCATCACTATCTATGTTGGTACTTGTAGCTGACGGTATCTTTGTGATACAACAGCATCAAGTAGCATTGATCTACACTCTATTTGCCATCACTCTTTAGAGTTGACACGAGTAGCTACAGTAAGCACTTCCCGTTTGGGTTGTTGAAACTCACTGCTATCCGATACTAATCCATAACCCAAGGTTATCCTATTTTTGCACTTTTAGGTTTTACAATATTTTTGGTGCTTTTTCATGGCATTATTAAAAAATTAATCCATTATTAATAAAAGCTTGGAAAATCTACAAGACATTGCTTGTTGTTATACAATGTGAACTGATTTTTAAAGATAGTAACAATTTTATCTATATTGTGACGAAAGTTGATTATATTATGCATTCTCTAGTTAATGAGTTGCGATGTTTTTGCAATGCATAAACTATTATCAAATGTTGATACTCAAACATAACAGTATTTTCGTAAAATATGGCTATTCCATACGTTACCTACTTTAAGATACATTGATTAATTCTATGTAATGATAAACCATGGTAAGCACCTTGTCTGTTTTCCATTATTTTTTTTGTACACTCAAATGTAAAATCTGCGGTGGTTTTCAATGAAACAATTTGAAGCAGATTTACATAAGACTCACATTTCAAAAAGTTTAGCGCTTCTTCAAAAATCCACTGACTTTCTTCATGAGGCTTCGGTTCCGGTCTTCTACGACACGAACAACATGGCTGACAGGAAAGAATCCATATTCACGTTTCTTCATACGGCTGGATCGAGTATAGCCATATGCCATTCCTTCAGCATTTGCATTATTGATCATTTTCACTGTTTGGCCTAAAACCATTAAATCAGTTATATATATATCAAAACATCCACCCCCATTTATTTGATTAGTGTTACTTTTTAGCTATAATGATTGCACGTTTAGTGGTTTGGAACCTTTTCACCTTCTTTAAGTCCTTATTCATCAGAAAAAAGCATACAATTAGTTTTTACATAAATCAGAAAGAGAAGTATGTGTGTTGTGTAATTTTAGACAATTTACTTTAAACATAAATTAATATAGTCTTGTAATATCAACTTAATATGTAAATTATCAGTAAGAATGAAAGCTTCAAATTTCATGGAACATGTAATACTAGTAAGGACATACAAAACAAAGTGACACTTGTGAGCACTACACCAGAGAACTTAGCAACACTATTATTTATTATTATTAGGAAGGAAACATAAAAAAAGTGATTATGAAGAACTATTTTTGTTTAATGTAATTTATAATATTTGAATAATTTATAAAGGACGGATTGCCTCAATAATTTGTATTGCAACCTTAACTTGTTGTCAATAATTCTAAACTTACATACCTATGCAACAAGAACCTTGGTAAATTGAAACTCTGACTATCTTAGCCTCTGTTTTCTGTTATGTTGGGTTGTACAGACTTGACTGATTCCTAATTGATTAAGAGTAGACACAATATATATGTTCATACCTGATACAAAGCTGATTTCATCCTCATTTCTTGCCTCGTAGGAATCAATGCTGCACAATTTGATGACCCTCAGTGAATGGTGCTTTGCTTGATGTGGTTCTCGGTTGGCTGTGAATACATTACGAAGATAGAATTTTTCCTTGAGGAAGACACTTACAAAAATACGTAAAAGTTATATTTCATTATTTTACATTTTATTATCACCAGCACAAGGTGATCCCGAGAAATAAATATGTCAGCCTTTATTAGCAGCAAATTCGCATTAACCACTGTGAAATACTCAAAACCATTATTCAAAAATATAACATATTGTTTTCCTGACATGTTTATAGGAATTTGAAAAACTTGACACCCACCATTTGTGCTAGAGTCAGATCCACTTTGTGCAGTGTTCTTTGATTTCTCCACTAGCTGACTTGGTCCAGGGGTAGAGGGTGGTGCCCGAGCCCCCTTGGATATTAATTCATATGGTTCAATGACTGTGGAAACCTCATCCACAAATTGACATCCAAAATCAAAAGGAATTGGACCCGAGTCCATAATCTCTGGACTTTTTGGTTTCTTGACCTTTTTGGATTTCCTGAATTTAGATTTGGTTCTGGTCAGGAACTGGGACAACAGATTATGGTCTGAAGAGTTGGCATCCAGTGGATCAATGTCAGGGTCCATCCAGTTGTTGATCATTGGCTGGAAAGGGGGCTAGAACAGAAACACTTATACTAGAGCAGTCATATACATGTTACAACAGATCACAAACAAAGGCTAGGACAGAAACACTTATACTAGAACAGCCATATACATGTTACAACAGACCAATATCACAAACAAAGGCTAGGACAAAAACACTTATACTAGAACAGTCATATACATGTTACAACAGACCAATATCACAAACAAAGGCTAGAACAGAAACACTTATACTAGAACAGTCATATACATGTTACAACAGACCAATATCACAAACAAAGGCTAGGACAAAAACACTTATACTAGAACAGTCATATACATGTTACAACAGATCACAAACAAATGCTAGGACAGGCAGATTCCAAAGATATAAAAAGCTAGAACAGATGGATTCTACAGGGATTTTAATGACAAGCAAATTCTGAACACATTTAATAATTGGAATTACCTAATATTTTTAGACATTCAATACTTAATGTATTAATCTTAATAATAGGATAGACAGATTCCAAAGATATGTGAATGTAGGACACAGACAGACAGATTCAACAGGTAGACAAATGTAAGACAGACAGATTGTACAAACATACAAATGTAAGACAGACAGATTGTACAGACATACAAATGTAAGACAGATTGTACAGACATACAAATGTAAGACAGACAGAATGTATAGACATACAAATGTAAGACAGATTGTACAGACATACAAATGTAAGACAGACAGATTGTACAGACATACAAATATAAGACAGATTGTACAGACATACAAATGTAAGACAGATAGATTGTACAAACATACAAATGTAAGACAGATTGTACAGACATACAAATGTAAGACAGACAGATTGTATAGATATACAAATGTAAGACAGACAGATTGTATAGACATACAAATGTAAGACAGATTTTACAGACATGCAAATGTAAGACAGACAGATTGTATAGACATACAAATGTAAGACAGATTTTACAGACATGCAAATGTAAGACAGACAGATTGTACAGACATACAAATATAAGATAGACAGATTGTATAGACATACAAATGTAAGACAGACAGATTGTACAGACATACAAATGTAAGACAGATTGTACAGACATACAAATATAAGACAGACAGATTGTACAGACATACAAATGTAAGACAGACAGATTTTACAGATATAAAAATGTAAGACAGACAGATTCCACATAGCAAATATTCATACAGACAGATTATACAGTCATATAAATGCTAAGGCAGACAGATCCAACAGACCTAAATTCCATGACATGTTGATTTTGGGACAAGCAAATTCTACCTGTAAACATTTTTATGCTTGGACAAACCGATTTTAGACATTTGATAAGATTCAAAAGATGTTTCAGTGACGGGACAAATTCAAGAAACAATGTAACAATAGAAGAGATTCAAAATATTTTTTTGACAAAGAGGATTTCACAGACCTACTAATACTGCTTATCATTGTGTTTAAATCCCATATAAAGACTTTTTAAAAAAAATGTAAGAATAGATTGTTCTTTAATGAAAAAAAAAGACAAAATAAACACAAAGAAACCAAAATGATAAAAACAGTGTCTGAAAGTGCACTTGCCAAGTTAATTGAAATGCAAACCTAATAAAGAATGATATCTCATGCCTGAATGAAAAAAATAGTGGTTATAAACTCCAAGATTTAACTATAATTTTTTCCTTGTAATAAAAACAACAGGCTTTGTCCTTTAAAATGGTTTTTCAAAAAAGAAGAAGTAGTTTGCTTTTTCTCAATTTTCAACCTGTGTGCAGTAAGAACCTTTTGACTCTACCCTACCTCTGGCCGCACGGTCTTATCCTCGGGCAAAACCAGAGTTTCCAGGTCCAGCGGGTCTCCTGGTGTATAATAAGGATGGTCTTTGCCAGTAAATGTCTGCACTTGTAAATGCTCTCCTGCATTTTCTGAGGGGCAGGACTTTGTCCCGTTCCATGTGTCGTTTGCTGACCTTACATTGGTTTCTTCTACAGGAGATTGCTGTGACCTGTCCCTCGTTAATTCATTCCCACAACAGACAGGTGTTAAGCCATCACTCTGGGAATTAACATTTCTCCTTTTGGTCTGGCTATCGCTCTTAACTGGCAGTGTTAAATTTCCAAGAGGGGTTTGTGTGGCCCGCCAACCATCTGTAGAAGATTTTGGGGGTGGATTTAGACTTTTAGAGTTGGGTCCCACTTGTCTACGATTGGTTTTGTTCCAGGTCAATGCTGGTGTATCTACATTCTCATCAGGAGAAGTGATTTGACCTTTGACACTTGATCCAGGATTACGACTAACCTTGGGTACAGCCCCTTGATCCTGGCCAGGATCCTCTATGTTTTCACCTTCCTTCTGTTGAGGCGATTGCTTATCTCTCCTAAAAATACAAAACACACTGTACATAATAATTGGAAAAGGAATCAAAAATCAAAATTTGTATTTTTTTTTTGATCACCATAATATACATAGATCTCAGCAAGATGAAAAGGTAGCACAAATGTGCCAATCCAGACAGTATAGTTACTTATTAAAGGACTAAACTAGAACTGTCGCCTATGGGCTAACTAATCAATACCTCCCGCACACCGGCTGCTTGTTGTTCCCTGTAGGGGCTAAATTAACAAGGGAAAAAATTTATAGAATGATCAGGGTCATGAAAAAGTCTAACCTCAGATATCGTATCAACAGACCGATGGAAAAAACAAACACCACTACTGTGACCTTTTACTCAATGACCTCAGAATTTTGTCACAGTGTAGATCAATGCTAAATTTACTCCAAGGTATGTGAATACAAAATACCTACCATTTCTGCCATAATTGGCAGTTTCAGAAACATAATGCATCTGTGACCTTTGATCTCATGACCTTGGAAGTTTGTCATAATATAGTCTGCATAATTGGCTACGATACTCTATGTATATATACCTACTGTTTCAGAGATAATTAGCCATTTCGGTAAAGTAATTCATTCATGACCTTTGACATTTCAAAACACGGAAAGTTGAAACCTGACATCAAAAACCGTTATATATCTGTTGAACATTATTGCGTCTAGTATTACCATACCAAATTTGGAAGAAATTGAATAAAAAATAAAAAAGTTCTTGCATGTTCTATACAATGTCATGGTCTAGTGAAGGTTTATGAACCAAGGGCGATAACTTCGTGAAAAGGGGAGATAACCAAATGAAATGTAACTTACGTACATCTCCAAGCTGCAAGGATTGTTATCAGGAAATTTAATTGAAATCCATCCAGTAGTTTAGGAGGAGTACGAAGTACTCCATTGTGTCCACAGACGACGGACACTTGAATCGTAGTGATTCCAGTATATATGTACCCCCTAACTTCGCTGCGGGGTATAAATATGTCTCTAACCCTATTCTGGATTTTTGTGAGAATGTATGTAGCAAAGATTAAATGAGCATAGTTAAAGTCATCCTCGATACTCCAAAGGTTACGCTCACTTTCGCTCTCTGCACCCCTGGAATATGTCATAGCAAAATTGAAGGCACAAAGAAAGCTGTTTGATTGGTCTCAGGTAAAAAAAAAAAAAAAAATCGCTAGGCTGATACCTGTCCTTTGAAGCTTACAAAGGAGCAACACTCGACTTCAAAACCTACCAGTTTTTAGCGTTACGTGACTGCGGGATTCTTATGATGTACATCGAAGGATCAAACTAGTCTTCTTGTCTCATCAACAAGGTGTACACACTCAGCCTTTAAATTTGCTATGACATATTCTAAGGGTGCAGAGAGCTTGAGTGAGCAAAACCCCTAGAGTGTCGAGGATGAGTTAAAGTTAGAACAAGATATCTGCTCCATGTGTAGTTCCTTTTAAAAGATTAACAAATTAACAAGGTTTGTCAGCAATACCTGCATTGTACCTACCCTATCTTTCTTCAGCCGTTACAGAACAAGAGACAGATTCCCTTTTTATTGCAAAAAAAGAACTGAAGTAGGCAAAATGAATGATAAGACTATTGGCTACTTTAATTATCACATCTTTGCTTCACCGTATTTTTGTCCTAAAGTCATTTTAAATTATCAGTCCAGTGTTGACTTTGCCCAATTTTCAAACTGATATATTTATGTAATCATATCTATCAAAATGTCCGGTCTTTTATACAACTTACCTTGACCGGTCTGGTCGCTGACTTCCATATTTTGTGCCCTGATTTGACTGAACAGAGACTTCTGTGAGGTGGAAATCATCACAAGGTTCAGAGGTGTCAGGATTGTCTTTATGTGAGACGCCAGATCTTTCGTCATAACTTGAGTCTGAATGAAATAAAAGGCAAACTGAAGTATTGAAGAGCAGTACATGACAAATTGTCTTGTCAGGACAGGGGACGGTACGTGTATAAAAAGTAATAGCTTGGAGTCACTGGACCTTTGCCAACTCGACATAACTTTGATATCAATAGTAACATGGAAGTGTATGCGACAAAGTGCCATCAAAATATAAGTAGCCAATCAGAATCTGACTCGAAGGACAGAAATTGATCAGCAATGAGTGTTACCTAGTTACCTTGACCTCTAGCTAGTAACACTTACAAAAACTACACTATCTGGAATACCCATATTAAACTCCACTCTAAGTAGTTGGAGTTGGGCAACATAGGTAAAAGGTCTTCCTGAAAAACATCCACATCCTTTACCACAAGGACACCCACCCGCATCCTTTACCACAATGACTCCGACTCACATTTTTTACCACAAGGACACCCACCAACATCCTTTACCACAAGGACACCCACCCACATCCTTTACCACAAAGACATCCACCCACATCCTTCAGTACACAGACACCGACCAACATTCTTTCCTACAAGGACACCCACCAACATCCTTAACCGCAAGGACACCCACCAACATCCTTTACCACAAGTACACCCACCCACATCCTTTACCACAAGGACACCCACCCACATCCTTTACCACAAGGACACTCACCACATCCTTTACCACAAGGACACTCACCCACATCCTTAATTACAAGGACACCCACATCCTGCTGTCAAGAACATCCAATCACTTTCTTAAGCTCAAGGACACCCAAACACAGGGACCCACCCTCATGCAGCTACCAGCAGGAATAGAACATATAACTCTGATATAGTCTGTCACACTATTAACTACCGCTGTTTAGACTGTACCTGTCTTGTCAGACTCGGACATCACCTGGAGATTGGCTGGAATCACTACTTCTGGTACATTGTTGGTTACAATGCCTAATCCATAATGTGACCAGTCATCCTGAAATAGAAAATCAGTTGTCTCCCTTAGTAAGATATCAGTATGTCATGTGTACAGTTATTGTACTTAATGGACATTCATTCAAAACACATTATTGCAATTCACAAAAAAGACCTTTTCTTGCATAAATTTTAAAAGGATTGCATAAATGATGACTTTAACCTATACTAATTATGTACAAATCATATAAAAGACAAACATTGGAAAAAGCAACTTGTTTGCTTTATGGGTTATCCCAGGTAATTGGCAAACTCATATCCATCCATCTTTTAATAAAAACTTTCGATTGCGTGCAATATAGAATTTCAGGCAACTCAAACCTGAGCTTTCCTTTCCGCTAAAACAGCAACAGTACAACTTACAAATATTGCTCACTTTCAAATTTCATTGCTGTGATATTCTTTAAGTACTGTAATTGTGTATTACTGAATATGACATGTGAAAATTTGAAGAATGCAAAATAGTTTGATTACCTTTACACAATTAAAATGACTAAAAACTGACACTTTTTTTCCAGGTTTTTTAAATCTTCTTTTTATTTATCTGTTTACCTAAATGCCAATAATGGTGTCTAAATAGTTAAACCATATTAGATGTTATACTATTATGTACCGTGAACAACTCGAAGTTGTAATATCTGGTCTTCTCCTTTGACCACTGTTTGTACGTGTTCATTCGGACTTCAATCATTCCCGATGCTATACTTCGCATCTGGTGAAGAACTAGCTCTCTCCTAGGACTGGACAAACACATAATCTCATTCAAATAGTCTTATTTAAAAATGCAAAATATTACACATGTTCTGAACATATATAATCTTATTGTGGCAGAAAATCTTATCATTCCTGAGATTAACTTATACATTTTATTTTGTTTCCATGTCATTTTCAAAGCCCAGAGACAAATAATATCTGTTTAAAGTAAGCTGGTGAGTCAAGTGGAAAGGCCACATTTTTTTTTTATCAAAACCCCATATATATAAAGTCAGCACATTTCTCAGTTTCTATTATCTGATGCTTATTTAAGATGTTAACAGTTATATACTCATGGAAAAAAAATCTTAATTTTATAATTGTAAAATAATATTCTTTAAAAAATACTGTAGTTGAAATGGTGATATTATCACTGAAAAGGTAGATAACTCATTATTATTATACTCTATTTTATGTTTTTTTTTTACCTTTTCTTTTGCTCTCCCTACATATTAAGATTTCAATTCTATAAATTGATAATATTCAACTTATGTCTGAACATGTTGAACAGAATATTTTTCTCTAATTTCTGGAATGTATGTACTTTTTCTTTTTCTTTTGGAAACAGTGCCATGTTACATATAATCTTTTCTAACAATGTTTTTGGGGAACAGTTTTTTTGTTTTTTTTGTTTTAGTTTTTAATTTCATAAATGTTTTGATAATCAACAGAGACGAAATGAAAGCTATGAAGAAATTTGCCAATGTGGTTCCAATATACATAAATGCAAAAATAATAATCAAAATGTTCTGTGAAGACAGTTGTTTTTTGTGTATATCTGTTTCTGCTAACATACTATGACAAGTAAATCAACTGATTTATTAAATATTGTTCTACTCTGAAATATTTTTTTCACCTCAATGTTGAACAGGACATTTCATTTTCTACTTTTTAAAAAACTGTTACTTAATTAGCAACTGTACTTTTTTACATTTTATTTTCACTCTTCTTTCTTTTCTTTTCTTTTCGAAAATCATAACCATTTGTTATGATTCTTTCAAATAACCAACAACCTGTAATTGTTACAGACTAGCCTATGTAACTTATATCTAACATTTACCTGAGAGGTTCTGCTAACTTAACTTATGTAACATTTACCTGAGAGGTTCTGCTAACTTAACTTATGTAACATTTACCTGAGAGGTTCTGCTGACTTAACTTATCTAACATTTACCTGAGAGGTTCTGCTGACTTAACTTATCTAACATTTACCTGAGAGGTTCTGCTGACTTAACTTATGTAACATTTACCTGAGAGGTTCTGCTGACTTAACTTATGTAACATTTACCTGAGAGGTTCTGCTGACTTAACTTATCTAACATTTACCTGAGAGGTTCTGCTGACTTAACTTATCTAACATTTACCTGAGAGGTTCTGCTGACTTAACTTATGTAACATTTACCTGAGAGGTTCTGCTGACTTAACTTATGTAACATTTACCTGAGAGGTTCTGCTGACTTAACTTATCTAACATTTACCTGAGAGGTTCTGCTGACTTAACTTATCTAACATTTACCTGAGAGGTTCTGCTGACTTAACTTATGTAACATTTACCTGAGAGGTTCTGCTGACTTAACTTATGTAACATTTACCTGAGAGGTTCTGCTGACTTAACTTATCTAACATTTACCTGAGAGGTTCTGCTGACTTAACTTATCTAACATTTACCTGAGAGGTTCTGCTGACTTAACTTATGTAACATTTACCTGAGAGGTTCTGCTGACTTAACTTATGTAACATTTACCTGAGAGGTTCTGCTGACTTAACTTATCTAACATTTACCTGAGAGGTTCTGCTGACTTAACTTATCTAACATTTACCTGAGAGGTTCTGCTGACTTAACTTATGTAACATTTACCTGAGAGGTTCTGCTGACTTAACTTATGTAACATTTACCTGAGAGGTTCTGCTGACTTAACTTATCTAACATTTACCTGAGAGGTTCTGCTGACTTAACTTATCTAACATTTACCTGAGAGGTTCTGCTGACTTAACTTATGTAACATTTACCTGAGAGGTTCTGCTGACTTAACTTATGTAACATTTACCTGAGAGGTTCTGCTGACTTAACTTATCTAACATTTACCTGAGAGGTTCTGCTGACTTAACTTATCTAACATTTACCTGAGAGGTTCTGCTGACTTAACTTATGTAACATTTACCTGAGAGGTTCTGCTGACTTAACTTATGTAACATTTACCTGAGAGGTTCTGCTGACTTAACTTATCTAACATTTACCTGAGAGGTTCTGCTGACTTAACTTATCTAACATTTACCTGAGAGGTTCTGCTGACTTAACTTATGTAACATTTACCTGAGAGGTTCTGCTGACTTAACTTATGTAACATTTACCTGAGAGGTTCTGCTGACTTAACTTATCTAACATTTACCTGAGAGGTTCTGCTGACTTAACTTATGTAACATTTACCTGAGAGGTTCTGCTGACTTAACTTATGTAACAGTTACCTGAGAGGTTCCGCTGACTTAACTTATCTAACATTTACCTGAGAGGTTCTGCTGACTTAACTTATGTAACATTTACCTGAGAGGTTCTGCTAACTTTACTTATGTAACAATAACTTACATTTATCTGAGAGGTTCTGCTGACTTAACTTATCTAACATTTACCTGAGAGGCTCTGCTAATTTTACTTATGTAACATTTACCTGGAAGATACTACTAACTTAACTTATTTAACATTTACCTGAGAGGTCCTATAGACTTAACTGATCTAAATTTACCTAAGAGGTTCTGCTGATTTAACTTATGTAACATTTACCTGAGAGGTTCTACTGACTTAACTTATGTAACATTTACCTGAGAGGTTATGCTGACTTAGCTTATGTAACATTTACCTGAGAGGTTCTGCTGACTTAACTTATGTAACATTTACCTGAGAGGTTCTGCTGACTTAACTTATTTAACATTTACCTGAGAGGTCAAGCTGACTCAACTTATCTAACATTTACCTGAGAGGTTTTGCTGACTTACTTATCTAACATTTATCTGAGAGGTTCTGCTGACTTAACTTATCTAACATTTACCTGAGAGGTTCCGCTGACTTAAGTTATATAACATTTACCTGAGAGGTTCCGCTGACTTAAGTTATCTAACATTTCCCTGAGAGGTTCCGCTGACTTAAGTTATCTAACCTTTACCTGAGAGGTTCCGCTGACTTAAGTTATCTTACATTTACCTTAGAGGTTCTGCTAACTCGATTAAGGAGATGTATCTGTTGTAAACCTCAACAACAACAGATGTAACAGTTACCTGAGAGGTTCTGCTGACTTAACTTATCTAACATTTACCTGAGAGGTTCCGCTGACTTAAGTTATCTAACATTTACCTTAGAGGTTCTGCTAACTCGATTAAGGAGATGTATCTGTTGTAAACCTCAACAACAACAGCCAGACGCCTGCCCTCCAAGACACTGCACTGATCACGTATTGCACTCATGGTCTGAAATATTAAAGCAATGAATGTTTCAAACCATTGTCTGTTATATCATACAACTGATATATTATCGGGTAAGCATTCCTATTCTGTACATGACACAAATGATGGTATTATATAAATATAAATATGGCTGTTCTTTTGAAACAATCAGTACATCTAAATTGTCAGAAATCTCTCTATTTGATGCATATTTATCACCCATATAAATTGATTTAAGAACATTGACTGTATAACAACTGTTAGAGCTATTGATAAAAAAGGTATTCTCCAAATATTATTTACCGTAAAAACCCATATAAACCTCAACAAAATATCTGATCACACATGACACACACGTGTGGGCATATCAGCATACATCAAATCATTTTAGCAATATTTTACATAAAACATTTACTTGCTTACAAAAACATATCAATTAATAAGTAATTTGATGTTTAGTAACCGCTGGTACATATCTCTTGGTGAAAGACATAATTAGATACCTTTTAATTATCATAGATCTAGATGAGTTGCACTGTCAGCCTATGTGAAAATACAAACATGACATGACATGTTTTACCCCGGTAAACTGAATAGGGCAATAATGAAGTATTCCTGATATCTCACAATCTGTACTCCTTTACCAGTGCACAAGGGTTCTGTAATGGTACTTCTAACTCAGGCAAGCTGGACTTTATTAATTCTAATTTTTAGTTTTCTAATTTTTTAATATGTTTATTTTGCTTATATGTATTTGGAATTTTCTTGACAAAGAATGCAAAGGTAAAGATCAAAATCTACACAAGCCCATGTAATTTACTCAGATTCCCAATGGAAATATATAATGTACATATTCATAATCATAAGAAAACTTCAAATTGCTTCAATTAATCTTTGGGAAAATTTAGTGAGCTAACGCATCAAGTTATTTATCCACACAAAGAGCAGTACACTTGTGTTTTAGTGGGAATGATCTCCAGTGTTTGAGCACCATAACCCTCTAATAGAATACAAAGCCAAGTACCATTAGGAAATTAGACCGACTGTCAACTTCCTCGGAGATCAATGTTTTGTATGTATTGAAAGACTTATCAATACTAGATCTCAATCTGTCTTCCTCTAACTCAAACTGCATCCTCCTTTTTTTGGCTGCTGTGGACTCTTTCCTGTCACCGTGCTGTAGGGAGCCGCCATACTTCCCCTGGCAGGTCAAGTTCAGGTCGAGCTCTTCAATTCTTTTCTGGAGCATCTTATAAAAATCATATGATAAAACAAATGAATAAAGAAAAATTGAAATTTACACTCGATAATCTTGCTTTGATAGATACAGTTTAAGAAATAACATAGACATCACAACAAATATTCACGCTAACATCATATTTGTTTCACATTATATGTCTCCTGTTTTATACCTGGTCAAATGACTATAAACCATCACTAAGATATATGTATAATTTTGCAATTGGTATTATAACTTACCTTACAAATTCAAAAACAATTTCAATCACTTAAAAACAACGAAATATGAATAAACAAATAACATTATTGAAATTAATAATTGAACTACAAACGAAAATGTATGCCATATTCATAAAAAATCTTCAAATTAACCATACATAACTTCCAAGTAAAATTCACAAACTAATATAGACAAACACAATTAAATATCCAACCAAAGTCAGTTTAGGAAAATATACTAATATAAGATATTTTCATCAGTAATAATCAACAAAACCATGTGTTACCATACAATCAGGCAACAAAATGGCCCTGTTGTTCAAAAAAGTCATAAAATCAACAAAACTAATTGTATGTTAAGACACGGTCAGCCTTTAGGTACATGTACTGTCTGTAAATGAAATCACATATCAATCTAAAGAGACTATATATACAACCTAACATCAATACAAATAGCATGAAAACAAAACAGCATGCAAAGGCTATCAACTAAAAGATAACAAGTGAAAAGTTCATTTAAAAGTGCACAAAAAATAAGACTGAATTCATCTGTGCATGTGTGTGGTGAGAGGGTCGGGGTAAGGAAAAACCATTTAAACTTGTAAACTGTAATTAAAGACAAAAGAATTTATGTCCAGCGGAAAGATAAAACCTTCATATAAACCATTAAGCATAGAACAATACAGAAAAATAGTAGATAATGTGGAACTCGCTTATTATGATATTCTATTTGCCAGAGAAAAATATTATAATAACTGATCAAGCTGTTTTCGATCATTTTTATGTTGTCTGAACCACGAAGGAATACTAAAAATGAAATAATGTTTTCATAGTTATTTATATCAGAAAAGATTACATTTCGTATTCAATTTATACATAAAATAACAGAATCAAAAGGGTGGGTACAAATTTAATAGAGTAACAATAGAGAAAAGGGTAAGGGTACATAGAATAATAAGGAGACAGTATATAGAGAAAGGAGTGACAGTAGATAGAGAAAAGGGAGACAATACATAGAGAAGAGGGTGACAGTACATAGAGAAAAGGGAGACAGTACATAGAGAAAAGGTTGACAGTACATAGAGAAAAGAGTGACAGTACATAGAGCAAAGATTGACAGTACATAGAACAAAGGGTGACAGTACATAGAGAAAAGGTTGACAGTACATAGAGCAAAGAGTGACAGTACATAGAACAAAGGCTGACAGTACATAGAGCAAAGGGTGACAGTACATAGAGAAAATGTTGACAGTACATAGAGAAAAGGGAGACAGTACATACATAAAAGGGAGACAGTGCATAGAGAAAAGGGAGACAATACATAGAGAAAAGGGAGACAATACATAGAGAAAAAGGTGACAGTACATAGAGAAAAGGGTGACAGTACATAGAGAAAAGGGTGACAGTACATAGAGAAAAGGGTGACAATACATAGAGAAAAGGTTGACAGTACATAGAGAAAAGGGTGACAATACATAGAGAAAAGGGTGACAATACATAAGGAAAAGGGAGACAATACATAGAGAAAAGGGTGACAGTACATAGAGAAAAGGTTGACAGTACATAGAGAAAAGGGAGACAGTCCATAGAGTAAAGGGAGACAATACATAGAGAAAAGGGAGACAATACATAGAGAAAAGGGTGACAGTACATAGAGAAAAGGTGGACAGTACATAGAGAAAAGGGAGACAGTACATAGAGTAAAGGGAGACAATACATAGAGAAAAGGGTGGCAGTACATAGAGAAAATGGTGGCAGTACATAGAGAAAAGGTTGACAGTACATAGAGAAAAGGGTGACAGTACATACAAAAAAGGGAGACAGTGCATAGAGAAAAGGGAGACAGAACATAGAGAAAAGTGAGACAGTACATAGAGCAAAGAGTGACAGTACATAGAGCAAAGAGTGACAGTACATATAGAAAAGGGAGACAATACATAGAGAAAAGGTTGACAGTACATACAGAAAAGGGAGACAGTACATACATAAAAGGGAGACAGTGCATAGAGAAAAAGTTGACAGTACATAGAGAAAAGGGTGACAGTACATAGAGAAAAGGTTGACGGTACATAGAGCAAAGGTTGACAGTACATGCAGAAAAGGGAGACAGAACATACATAAAAGGGGGACAGTGCATAGAGAAAAGGTTGATAGTACATACAGAAAAGGGAGACAGAACATACATAAAAGGGAGACATTGCATAGAGAAAAAGATGACAGTACATAGAGCAGAGAGTGACAGTACATATAGAAAAGGTTGACAGTACATGCAGAAAAGGGAGACAGTACATAAAAAAAAGGGTGACAGTACATAGAGAAAAGGGAGACAGTACATAGAGAAAAGGGAGACAGTACATAGAGAAAAGGGAAACAATACATAGAGAAAAGGGTGACAGTACATAGAGAAAGGTTGACAGTACATAGAGAAAAGGGAGACAGTACATACATAAAAGGGGGACAGTGCATAGAGAAAAGGGAGACAATACACAGAGAAAAGGCTGACAGTACATAGAGAAAAGGGTGACAGTACATAGAGAAAAGGGAGACAAGACATAGAGAAAAGGGAGACAGTACATAGAGAAAAGAGTGACAGTACATAGAGCAAAGGGTGACAGTACATACATAAAAGGGGGACAGTGCATAGAGAAAAGGGAGACAAGACATAGAGAAAAGTGAGACAGTATATAGAGAAAAGGGAGACAGTACATAGAAAAAAGGGTGACAGTACATAGAGAAAAGGGAGACAGTACATAGAGACAGTACATACATAAAAGGGGGACAGTGCATAGAGAAAAGGGAGACTATCCATAGAGAAAAGGGTGACAGTAAATAGAGAAAAGGGCGACAGTACATAGAGAAAAGGGAAACAGTCCATAGAGAAAAGGGTGACAATACATACATAAAAGGGAGACAATACATAGAATAGAGCAAATGGTGACAGTACATAGAGAAAAGGGAGACAGTACATAGAGAAAAGAGTGACAGTACATAGAACAAAGGGTGATAGTACATAGAGCAAAGGGTGACAGTACATACATAAAAGGGGGACAGTGCATAGAGAAAAGGGAGACTATCCATAGAGAAAAGGGTGACAGTAAATAGAGAAAAGGGCGACAGTACATACACAAAAGGAAGACAGTGCCCAGAGAAAAGGGAGACAATACATAGAGCAAAGGGTGACAGTACATAGAGCAAATGGTGACAGTACATAGAGAAAAGGGAGACATTACATAGAGAAAAGGGTGACAATACATACATAAAAGGGAGACAATACATAGAATAGAGCAAATGGTGACAGTACATAGAGAAAAGGGAGACAATACATAGAGAAAAGGTTGACAGTACATACATAAAAGGGAGACAGTGCATAGAGAAAAGGGAGACAATACATAGAGCAAAGGGTGACAGTACATACATAAAAGGGGGACAGTGCATAGAGAAAAGGGAGACAATACATATAGAAAAGGGTGACAGTAAATAGAGAAAAGGGTGACAGTACAAAGAGAAAAGTATGACAATACATAGATGGGGGCGGGGGGTGGGGGGATGTACATAAACTAAAACAATTAGAGCATAGAGAAAATCAGGGGGGAAAATGAACAAAAACTAAAACAATTAAAGCGTACAGAAAATAGGGAGGGGGAAATGTACATAAACTAAAACGTGCATAGAGAAAAGGGAGACAAGACATAGAGAAAAGTGAGACAGTATATAGAGAAAAGGGAGACAGTACATAGAGACAGTACATACATAAAAGGGGGACAGTGCATAGAGAAAAGGGAGACTATCCATAGAGAAAAGGGTGACAGTACATACACAAAAGGAAGGCAGTGCCTAGAGAAAAGGGAGACAATACATAGAGAGAAGGGCGACAGTACATTGAGAAAAGGTTGACAGTACATAGAGCAAAGAGACAATACATAGAGAAAAGGGTGACAGTAAATAGAGAAAAGGGCGACAGTACATAGAGAAAAGGGAAACAGTCCATAGAGAAAAGGGTGACAATACATAAGGAAAAGGGAGACAATACATAGAGAAAAGGGTGACAGTACAAAGAGAAAAGGGAGGCAGTACATAGAGAAAAGGGAGCCAAGACATAGAGAAAAGGGAGACAGTACATAGAGTAAAAGGAGACAATACATAGAGACAAGGGAGACAATACATAGAGAAAAGGTTGACAGTACATACGACAGTACATACATAAAAGGGAGACAGTGCATAGAAAAGGGTGACAGTACATAGAGAAAATGTTGACAGTACATACATAAAAGGGAGACAGTGCATAGAGAAAAGGGAGACAATACATAGAGCAAAGGGTGACAGTACATACATAAAAGGGGGACAGTGCATAGAGAAAAGGGAGACTATCCATAGAGAAAAGGGTGACAGTAAATAGAGAAAAGGGTGACAGTACAAAGAGAAAAGGGTGACAATACATAGAGAAAAGGTTGACAGTACATAGAGAAAAGGGTGACAGTACATACACAAAAGGAAGACAGTGCCTAGAGAAAAGGGAGACAATACATAGAGAAAAGGGCGACAGTACATTGAGAAAAGGTTGACAGTACATAGAGAAAAGGGTGACAGTACAAAGAGAAAAGGATGACAATACATAGATGGGGGTGGGGGGTGGGGGGATGTACATAAACTAAAACAATTAGAGCGTAGAGAAAATCAGGGGTGGGGGGGAATGTAGATAAACTAAAACAATTAGAGCGTACAGAAAATCAGGGGGAAAAATGAACAAAAACTAAAACAATTAAAGCGTACAGAAAATAGGGAGGGGGAAAT